AAAAATTAAAAAATGTATGACAAAGCGACTTTAAAACCTGATTTAAACACTTTGAACTACCGAGTCCAAATAATTGGAGAGAGATTGCAAACTCGACAAGAAAACATTGCGTGTCAATTTATTCAAGAATTTTCTTCTGAAGATGTCGCTTGAGTATTATTTGTTTATTCCACGAAATGTGTTGTAACAGATAGTTCTGTACCACGTCCTAAATGCGCAGACTCTGTTACCAACTGCTTGATTCAGAGCGGTAAAACTCAGCACCATTTGAACTTTAAATAAACAACATAAATCAGTATCAAGTGAAACTCATGGGCATAATGATATCGACGGGCATGAAAGTAGAAATTTTACTGGATTTTCAAACTATTAATTTAATTTTAACACGTTGAATGCCGCACGATTTCATAGAGCAAAATACACAAAATGGAAGAAATATAATATTGAATCACTTGTTTGAATTGCATTATTATTATTGCACATTGATATAGCTGAATGGCACTGCATTAGGTAGCATTATTTATAATATAGAAATATTTTCAAATAATCATCATTTAATTGAATGAACTATAGTAATTCGATTTGGTTGGGGATCACCGATGACCCCCATGGCATTCAACGTGTTAAGAGAAAATTAATTTAGAAAATTAATTTAGAAAAGGAATAAAAGAATTTAAAAAATTGAGAATTACTCTTCTAAAATCTATATCCAATGAATTGCGTTGAAAATTGAAAAATTTTAAATATTTCTGTAACTTTACATTTTTATTTATTGCTAATTTAATCTTAGTCTTAGCCTTTCTATAATTGACAACAAAACGTCAAATATTAATAACTACTTGCGAAGTATTCACTTAATAAAATGGCGGATATAAAAACGTTACCTAAAAGAATTGTTGCTTAATAAAATGTTCAATAACAATATTTTCAAAAGATATATATAATATTTTATGGTATCGTTTTTTCTAAATTTTGCTTTGTGCTATATATACTAGAAAATCGCGCCGGCCATTGCGCGCTCGTGTTTTGGTTCTGAAAAGATGGCGGACTCTTGTTTTTAAGATCGGTCACACGGGATTACGATAGTTTTGAAATGCACTGGGAAAATTGACATGTTATACGTGTGATATTGCCGAGTGCATAAGAATATCGTTACAGCGGATTTACTTACCGAATCGAAGAAGGTTCTTTGAGCATCGCGAGTGACGCGAAAGCGGTGCCTTCAGCGTGCGGATCATATGAACAAGGATTCAAGTGATTTTCAAGATTTCTGTTGTTTTCTGTGCGAAACACTGTTCGGGAAGCTGAAGAACAATATCGTTATCGACGAGTAAAATGGTTTGACTCCAATGAACGTTTACGATGTTTAAGATGCCGATAACTGATGCATCACCAACAGTTACTTGGTTAGGTTGATTGAATAGGTAGACGTTATACCTATGATACCTGAACAACGTTCCACGTGTTCCTCTCGGTGGTTCACGTTAAAACGTGATATTGTAACGAGTTCATAGACAATCTGTTAAATGTATTGTTCCAATTTATAATGGCGAATAGTGAGTTTGACGTGGAGCTCTTTGAGCGAAGACTCCACACGTTGAAGGATTCACAGGAGTCTATTCAAGGTCTCTCTGCCTGGTGTCTAGAAAGGCGGCAACACCATAAAAAGATCGTTGCTACCTGGTTGCAAGTTCTAAAGAAAGGTAGGATGAATAATAGTCGACAAAGTTAAACATCCGAAACCTATAATTTAGTTTATAAAGTTTAGGAATCAATTGTTTTCATTCTAACATTCTAATATAATCTTTAGTTTAATAGATATTATAATTTTTAAATTATTTTAATTGTTTGTTCTTTGAAACAATGTATAATTGCTTGTTTATACATAGTTAATATATATTTTATTCTATGGTTTTAATATGGTTAATGATAATGTATCATTTTTTAAATGACAGTAAAAGTTGAGCATCGTTTGACACTCTTTTATCTGGCAAACGATGTTATTCAATATTCCAAGAGGAAAAATTTTGAGTTTGTGGAGTCGTGGGGGACGACTCTGCAACGAGCAACAACCATGGTCAGGGATGAAAAAGTGAAGCACAGAATATTAAGGATATTTAAAATTTGGGATCAACGACAAGTATACGATGAGGAGTTTCTTGCAGACTTGTCCGGATTGATTTCAGCAGCTCCAAAAAAGAAATTAGATCCTCAACCAACAGCACCACCAGAAGAGTTTCAAGCTGCCCTACTTATTTCTACAATGAGATCATGTGCTACATTGGAGCAAGCAACAGATGCAAGATTACGAGACTTAAGGGATAGTAATATAGATATAGAAAATGCAGAAGAATTGTGTGCTTCTTTAAAAGATAGAAGAAGGGTTGAAGATGCTGAAAAAGAAGTTGATTCTGCTGTAAGGAATGTTGAAAATTATGTTCGTGCATTGGAAGCAGAGATAAGAGAAAGGACACAAGTTCTTGAGTTACTAGAACAAGCAGATCAGTTTTATGAAACTCAGAGGGGTGAAGTCAAAATAGTTACCAATGTAAGTAGGAAAAATAACTACTATCTTTTTTAAGCACCGGTAGCGCTTAATGTATAACATATTTTATCAATAGGCATACAGAAATTTTGGAAGCCGTGTTAAAAATTTAAAGAAAAAGTTGGATGAACTTTTACCAACATTAGTTTCCCCAATTCCATCACCAGACATTAATGCTCCATCTCCAAGCCCCGATAGTGATATAGACCTACCAGGAGATGAAAACCAGACTCAAAATCAGTTAGGAATGATAGATGTGGCTCCACCATCTATGTATGGATCATACTCGCATGATTATGATCCTGTGCCCGTACCAGCTCCTGAATTAGGCCAAGGCAATGATTCCGGTGATTTTACAAATAATTTTTCGTCTTTTATAGGAGGGAATATGGATTTTGGTAATATGGTAAGAATTCTTACATAGAAAATCTTATTATTTTACTAAATAGTGTCATGATTATCATGCATCTTTTTTTACAGAGAAATATATTTAATGAAAGATCGTCGACGCCTACTGGAATGTCACAACAGTATAATGATTCTTTAGAGGTACATTCAATTAAGATTAAAACGTATTGCATATTAAAATATTGTCAAAAATGTTCATATTTTCTTCCAGGCTAAACCAATAGAAGTAATCAATATGAGGCCCTCAAAGAATGAAAGTACCAATGCAGACTTTAATATTTCTAGTTTCTTAAAGACTGTTCTTCCTTCTTCTGATGGAACTCAAGATCCTGGTGGAATCCCAGGTCTTGGTTTAGATATTCCCGAGTCCCAAGTAGGGTCGCCACAGCGTACCAATTATAGACATTCACCTGTGTTAGGACAACATACTGTAACCCCTGTGATCTCAAGAATGATGGGTAGTCAAAATACGCCTATGGGTGTAAACAATTGCCAGATGACCCATAGTACTCCACTGCCTGTTCGAAATTTATCTGGCGAGTCGCACACTCCCTCCCCATATTCCAGTCAAAATAGTCAAAGTAACATTACCGTGCCCTTCGACGGTCCTACTAATAATAATACAGTCAACCCTTTACCACCCCCGCCATTACCACCGCCAATTTTTCTCGACGATGAGAATTGTTATAATAAGTTGCCACCCAAGTTCCCTACGTGGACACCCCCGAATGAATCGATCAAGGAAGCAGCCAAATGGGAGGAAAAGGGTACGGAATTTAGCATAGGATGTAAGCCAGAGAAGTTTGATTTTCGAATAACGAATGTTTTATAACGCAGCGGGTTTCGCTATATCTTCAGGAAAGAATAGCATGAATCCTACGTGGCCTGGTGAGTGCGATGAAAAAACAAAAACTTGGATGGACGGGGAGTCGGATAGGTGGGATCCAAGTAACGAAACCACGTGGGTTAACCCAGTCAGGGGAAAGAGTGAAATTTTGTCGGAAACACCAGAATCACCACCTATGTATGAGAAAACCGGATTTACAGACCCAGTAGAGTACGATGACCCTCAACCACAAGAATCTCTTCTGAGTACCACTGGGGATGTAGATCATAGGTGAACAGCTGAGTAGTTACACAGGATCATTCGATCTTGGAGAAAAATATTCATTTCATGTATACATTACTAAACATGCTTTTCTAGGGTGATACCGATTCCGATGACAGTGGAGAACCAACTGCCGTATCGATTGATGAAAGCAGCGGATGTCGATCATCGTAATTTGATAAGTTTAACAGGCAGTCCCGCGAATCACAACGTGAACGATAGTTCCATGAGCACGATACCGAATAGTAGTACTTTATGGTCCTCGGGTGACCAGGATTATCGGTAAGTCATCGGAACGCTATCAAGCTATTATCAGCCGCGTGAAAAACCAATTTTCTTAAATCAAAATCTTCACGATGCAAATATCAGGCAACATATGCAACCCGGTGATATCGTGGAAAGTGTTGATATGGAGATGTCTGACGACGAAACCGACAGTAAGCCAAAAGGGAGGGTACTGGTGGACGTCAGATCGCAAGACAGAGACATGAGAATCGGTAATCCACCATCGTCTCAACACATGGACATGGATATGCGTATGATCCCGCTTCCCACTGGGCAAATGCCAGGTCCACACGGGCCGATGATGCAGGACGTACACATGATGCATTCAGGGCCGCCACCGCCTCCACCACCACCGCCGCAATTTCACCCCAATCAGACACCGTTTCACCAGGATCAAGATTTTCATCACAATCCATCATCGGATTTTCATCCGTCACAGTCGAATTTTCATCAAAACAGACCACCGCCTGGTTTCCTGCAGAACCAACAGGATTTTGGTCAGCAGGAATTTCATCAGATGCAGCAGTCCCAGCCGGACTTTCCTCAGCAGGATTTTGAGTATCGGGATAGTCATGGCTTGAGACCAAATCCAGAGTTCCACGGCGAGTCGCAGTTGCGTGGCAGGTATTCGCAGTCAAGCGAACACCCGCACAGGGACATGCCGTTTCATCGGAACGACAGAGGCCGAGGAGGTCGTGGATTCCCGCGTAACCGACGGGACAGATACTCCGACGATCATAACAAGCAAAGAAATCTGGCGAACAACCGCAAACCGCGGTCGCTGGATCAGCACCAGAGGTCGTCACCGGAGATTCTACCGAACAGTCGGCCTTTGTTGCTTCAACCACCGGACACGGTAGTGATTCTCGATGAAGAGGGTATGCCGATAGGTCTTCCGGACGAAAAGGACAATCTGGTAAACGCAGAGCATGCTCCGGACCAGGACCAGGAAGATAACCCTCAGTCTCTATCGCAGGACTGTAGATCATCTCACGGTACTCCTAATTCCCGCGATTTAGATCAGTCGTCTTATCCGGGCGGTCCGAGTCTCGTTCATGAGCACGAATCCGAGCCGACGTCCGAGGAGCTGGAGGATCAACAATCACTTAGTCAAGTGACGGTCGTGCCCGTCGCAGTGGATACGAAGGACTCTCAGCACAGCCAGTACGTACCGATCTCTGAGTACGAGGAACATGTGGAGTCGGAGCCCACGATATCGGAGAAACCCTGCGACACCAGCGAGTCGCCGGATACCGTTGGTCAGGAGCTCAGCTTCAATGAGCAACAGGTGCAGCATATTGAGCAGATGGAGGATCTGGTGAACGTGACGAGCAACGATCTCAAACGGCCGTCTACGAATGGCGGCTTCGACGACCAGAACGATGTGAATGTCAGCAAAAAGCGGATGCTGTCGAATGGGCCGCAGACACCAACTGGATCCGACTCTGGCCTGAACGGGCCAATCCCGCAAGCCTCCGGCGAGTCTCATCTGGGCGTGTACGACTTTGACGGTCCGTTAGGGCCTAACTTCCGACCGCGTCTTGCCGGTCCCGTCCCGTTTCCTCCATGGAGAGGTGGTCCGCCCCGTGGTCGGGGCTTTAGGGGCGGCCCTAGAGCTCCCTGGATGGACAGAGGACCCCGTGGCCCTGCAATTGGTAACTTTATACCGAGAGGACTGAAACGGGGCGGCCAGTTCAGGGGTAACGGTTTCAGGGGCCGGGGACGAGGCAATAGCTGGTAGATCGTTGCTTGCGTAGCGAGCGCGTGTATCGCCGAGATCTTATTAACAGTTTGTAAACCCAGCGGAAAGAAAAAGAGTAACAGTAAGAGTTAGAGCGAGAGAGTGAGAGAGTGTGTGTGAGAGAAAAGAGAGAGACTCTGGAACGACCGTCTTTTTTCTATTTCTGTACATACGTTGTTGCGAACCTTTGAAACTCGGCCCGATTCGGTCCGCGTGATGTCTCTTTTCTGATCCTCGTAGGGGTGTCGGATCCCCCGGACGTAGCGAGATCTTCCGAAGGAGAGATCGTCTCGTCCTCGCCGGAAGGTGCTCGCGCATCTGTGCGATTAAGTCGCCTATATACATATATAAATAAACTATATAAATACATAGATATATAAAAAAAGAGGATGTATCACACAGAACACGGAATGGAGCTCGAACTTCACATAATACACACGTTCTCCGTTAAGATCTAGACGCGCCGTCGAAGTGGCTGTGCGCGACGATCGATACGTTCGTTTCGGGTCGCTTCGGCGGCGATCGCGTTACCTTCTAGGATCGTATGTAAGTCAATGAAACCTCTCTGTTTTACGTATATAATGCGTTCATGAGTACGATTGAATATTTATCGCCTGGTTGTCAGGACCCGCGAACGTCTCGATCCTCGATCAGCGCGGCGCGCACGAAAAAGAAATGGAAAAAGGAAAAGAAACAGAATAGACACAAGATTGAGAAGAGAAATGGCGGACAGGGGTGATCCGTTGGAGACGCGTTCGCGGGTTGCTCGTTTCGTCGTTCGCCTCTGCATCGATGGACACGCTACGGATCTTGCCTATTTTTTCGTCGAGACGAACGTGTCCCCCGTCGTGGATTAT